GGGGCAGGGGCCGGCCTGCCGTTAACAACACGGCTATATTCTAGTCTGTTTCCCATAATTTTTTTTTTGCTGTTTAGGATGCTAAATGCAGACAGCCAGAGGTAATAAAGCAAAACAGTTTGTCATAAAACGTAAAATATGTTCTGGAGAAATGCAGCTTTTTTTTTTTCATGGAGAGGAAGCTCCATGTGACAGTTTGTGTTTATAACATGAAATAGATATCATGAGAAATGGAATGGATTTGGCAGCATGTCAGATAGTTTTCGACTCCATTTTTTTTTGGTCCTAAACTGCAGATTTCAAATAATTTTCGATGGTATCACACAAGAAAACTGCTTTACTGTGGTAGCTGCACTCAGCTGTCCTTGTTAGTCTGTGGTGTCAGGCTTCTCATTTGAGTTAAGCGTAGCACACAGTTGAGAATGAAACCTGCTCAGCCATCTCTGCTCAGCACACGTGCAGGTTGCAATGACTTTTCACCGCATACCACTTGGGCAGTGATTGGTTCTGTTCCTGGTTGCCTGAGTTTTGTAATCTCTGTGATACTTTGTCCCACTGAGGGGAAACTGTTAAGCTATGTTAAATGTGGAACACCTCAGGTGAACTGCTTAGCAAGCTGATGCCAGAGCAGATGGGGCCTCCTTGCAGAAGATGTGTAGGGAGGAATGCAGAAATAATGTAGAGAGAGGATTTTAAAGGCTGCTTCGTCACTGTCTTGGGCAACCTGTGGGAAAACGTTCTTTGCAGTCCAAATGTGATCAGTTGGGTAACTTTTCTGTGGATTCTGAGTTTTTATCCGTCTTCTGCGTAATAAAAAATTGGTGTCGGACAGCAACTAGAAAGCTTCAGGTTAATGTGGTAGAGTTGTCTTTGAAAATACATATACTTTAAATAGTTCCCATGTTGCAGTTTTCCAGACGTTGACACTGAAAACTTGAGAGGTTTTAGCTAGACTTTAAAACTTGACATTCTACGCATCTAGGGGGAGGGAGTACCATAAATGGGAGATGGGGGAAAACACCTTGGCAAAATCTGGGAGGAAGTGTCATTTGGTCTAATAACATATACTGCTACTTTGTTAGGATCTTGACTATTTTAAAGTATCACTGCTGCAATGTCATAACCTAGTAAAATTTTCAACATTATTAGTAATTTCTCAGGTTTGTGACTGGAGTCTTTAATTATGTTACTTTTTTTTTTAGTTACTTTGAGTGTGGGAATTAATTTGCTGCTAAGTAATAAAAGAGTTTTCTTCCCTTTTTGTGTAGGCTGCAGAAACTGCTAGCTTGGAAGAGCAGTTGCAAGGATGGGGAGAAGTGATTCTGATGACCGATAAAGTTCTTCGCTGGGAGAGAGCCTGGTTTCCTCTGGCACTGATGAGTGTTGTTTCCTTTTCTTTTCTGTAAGTAGCTTGTGGAGGGGGCCTAGAACACCATTGCACTTTCCTGGTCGGTAGCAAACCTGTTAAGGAAATTAGTAAGACATCTTTAAAAACCTCGTAGGAAGGCTTTTGCTCCAGGTTCTGTTTCTGAACGCGTATAAACTTTGTTGAAAACAAAAACCTGAAGTATTGAGAAGAGGAAGTAACACGAGTCACATCCTGCCCAGAGGGAAGGCGGTGCTTTCTGCAAAAGCTGTTTGTCAGCAATGGTTGCTGTAGTTTTTTTACCATGCTCAGCTGTATGTTCTTTATTGGTGTGTTCGTATTCTGCCCTCATCCTTTGTATCCTGCTTCTTAGTCAAATCTGGTTATCTCCTTTGGCTTTTTTCTCCGAAACAACAGCGATATCATTACGGAAAACTTGTTTCCATAGGGCAGACTTTCCTATTCTGCGTCTTTGGTATGGTGTTTAGGATGAGTTCAGGTGGTTTTGCACAACTGTTTTTTTTTGCTTTCTCTGTCCTGTCCTTTGAGAAAGAAGGAAAAGGAAAGACTGCAGGTAACTTTCAGTTGACAGGATGGGAGGATGTTGCCTGTTTCTGGATTGGAGATACAGAACTAGCTTGCTAGAGGCACTTGTTACTTGCTTTTACGTAACGTGGTAGTAGTCAAGGTGACCCCAACCTGCCTTGTCCATGCCAGCTGTGGAGTTTGCCAGTTGCATGTGGTTTGGAAATAATAATAAGAGGGGAGTTACAAAAATAAACGTTGAACCAGGAGAGGCAGAGATGATTGGTCTTCTGGCTAATATAAATTTTATGGTGTTACAAAAGAGGTGAGGAGGATGGAAATCAAATGAAACTGAAAAGTAACTTTTAAAAGAAGTAATTGCATGAACTTCAGGATATTCTGTTATAAATTCTGTGATTAAAGCAGGAAAGATCTTGTGTTGGATAATACTTCGACGAAATAGACAGAACTACTTTAGATTCTGAGTTGGTACTTCAACAAAAATTAATTTGGACATTCAGTGCAGTGGCACTGTGCCAGCTGAATAGAAAGACTGTCCCTGTGCTGGACTGTGTCATTTTTTTACTTTTCTTACTTCAGTGTTCAGGAAGTTCTGCTAAGTGCAAATAAGTGGCGTGGGGCACAGCTGGGTGTTAACAGACACTTACGTGACGAGCTAGTACCCGTACTGCTGTAGTTGAGTGATGGCACACTCAGTAACGTAAAACACAGCGCTGTTCTAGTTGGAGATTTATGGCTTCTTGTGCAGAACAGGCTTGGTTAGCTCTCGCAGGTGAGACAGAGCAGATGACAACCTTTAGTGGATTTAAATTCTGTGACTGACTTAAGAACCAACAAGGTTAGAGCTTTCGCTCTACCTGGTTACTTCATATGTGCACTCACTCATCCTCATCCCCCAGTCAGTGTTAAGTTCACTAGATTTCAAATTCCGAGAAAGCAATAATGATGAATTTTTACTTCTGTTGAACTTCATACTATGCTTGCTGTATTGCAGCATTTTCTTATCAAGCACATTAAGAAAACTGTAATTTTTTTATCTGTATTTCTTTGTAATAGCGTTGAAGTAGTTAAAGCTCTTTCTATTAGTGATAGGAGCAAATTTGAAAACTTTTTTGAGGTTAGGCAAAAGGTCTACTGTTTGAAGTCCTGAGCCAATCTAAAGAGGTGGCTAAATATATCTGGTATTTATCAGTCTTAGCGTTCAGAAATAATTTGTTATCTTCTTTCTGCAGGATGATCTACTACTTGGACCCCTCAGTTCTTTCAGGCGTCTCCTGTTTTGTTATGTTCCTCTGTTTGGCTGATTATCTTGTTCCTGCTCTTGCACCTAGAATCTTTGGCTCTAATAAATGGTAAGAAAAGCTTGAATTAAAACAGTTTCTTGAGTGTAAATAAATGATGAGCTTTGTCAAAATGGATATCTGACTTGCACACATGAAATGGTTACTTTATAGAGTCATTGTAGTAAGAATTCGGCAATCTCTGTAATGTATGAAGTGAAGACACTAGTGAGGTGTCCTTCATTCTTCTTTTTCTGAAAGATAACTACTACAACGTATCTTGTTTCTTTTCTTCTAGAAAAACAGAATTTTTTTTTAAGGAGTAGGCACATTCTTTGCTCTCCATTAAGGATGCTAGTTAGTTTTGCTAAACTAGTTTTTAGTAATTAATGGATAATAGATACTGACAACTAACATCATGAAGGAGGGTATTGGATTATATTTTTGAGTGGCAGTAGTAAATGCAGTGAAGAGTAATACAGAGAGTATGAATGTGATCTTAGGTGACTGAAACAGATTTGAAGAAGGACAAGGCTTATATAGAAACAGTAAGCTGGAGAAAAACCTTGTTTGAACTAAATTTTGAGTTAAAAATAAATGCCAGTGTATGTGCTTTAAGATGACTAATGGATAAGTGTTCTTGTCTGATAATGAACCCTCATAAAAGCCAAAGTATTGGCTGCTATTAGGTGCGCGTTACTTGGGTGTGTCACACTGGTATCAGATTAAAATCGGTGGTCTTCTGGTTTGAATGTGGTGGCTCTTTGGGGTCCATTTGAGAGTCAGGGTACAGAAAAGTTACATGGGTGGTTGCGTTACAATGCTTGGTAAAGATAAGGTATAAAACTAAGTGAAGTAAACGCCAGGATAAGTACTGGATAAATTTTTACTGCTGGAAAATTACCATGTGAGATTTTTTTAAATTTCAGATGAAATCTTGAATTCTTATTTCTGTTTTTTTTTTTTTTTTCTTTAATAAAAGGACTACAGAACAGCAGCAAAGATTTCATGAGATTTGCAGCAGTTTGGTAAAATCTCGTCGCCGAATTGTTGGCTGGTGGAAACGTCTCTTTGCACTGAAGGAAGAAAAGCCTAAAATGGTATTGAGTTCTAGGAATTCATCTCTATTGTCTTAAGATTTTATTTATTTTGTTTTGTCTTAAGCGTTTTAGCAAGGCACATGTCTCAAGCACAACAAACTGGTATTTCAAACCAAGAACCAGCAGTGCTGGCTGTGACTTAATGCCAGTCACACTTCTTATTCAAAGCTGGAGTGGTGAGATACATGACTTCAGACTTGCAGTACTGTGCAGTTAGGAGCATATCCTTGATATTAAGATAAAGCTAAACTGGGTTTCTTTGGATAGGTCAATTTTTGGAGGAACAGCTTGTTTACAGTGTACACGATCTGTCCAAAAAACTGGATCTTAGTAAAGTGTCAGCTTAGGTACGTGAACGCTACCGAGTATACTGTCCTGAAAACAGCTTCAGGCACTGTGTGAGGCTGACGTTGTGCCAGTGGGGATGGCATAGTCTGTCTGTTAAGGGATATCTGGACAGAAAAGAACTGACAGCCTGTAATGGTCTGAAAATAAAGGAGAACATAAAGTTGTAGACTCTCTAATCTCAATTTTAACAAGCCTATGCATAGGTATCGCATGTGGAAGAACCAGCAAACTTCAAGTGAGCTTTAAATGTTGAAGTGTTGACGGATACTCAAGGGAAGGGGAAGAATTCCCAACAGATCTGTGACAACTGTTCTCTTTTCATTTTTTAGTACTTCATGACCATGCTTTTTTCTCTTGCTGTGGTTGCCTGGATTGGACAGCAAGTTCACAATCTCTTTCTGACCTATCTTATTGGTAAGTGTTCAGCATGCAAAACAGAAGTAACTTTTTTATTAGCTGCCTGAAATAGTATGAGACTGGTAGAACTAATTTTTGATTATACAAGCGTCGTGATTTTTTTTTTGTCACATGGTTTTATTTTGTGTTTTCAAGCAGTTAATGGGGCTTAAGGGAAGCAAGGAATTGCAAAGTGACAGGAGTATTCCTTGTGAAAGAAATATTAAGTAATTACTTTTTTTTTTCCTTCTCTGCTTTCTAGTGAGCTTGTTGTTGCTGTTTCCTGGACTAAACCAGTATGGGATCATTACAAAGTATGTTGGAATGGCGAAAAGGGAGATAAACAAACTTCTCAAGCACAAGGAGAAGAAAAATGAATGAAGACTTAACTGCTGTTCACTCTTGTAAAAGGTTTCCTTGGGAACACTTTAGAGAATTAACGTATAATTAAGACAATAGGAGTTGTATTGCTCACTGGCTTTTTTTTTATTGGCTCCCTGATGAAGTGAAAATGTCACTCTAGCAATTGCTGTGGGTTTGTGTCTCTCTTGCTTGCTGACTAGGGTTTTGCAGCCCGCAGCTGATCTTACGTGAAAGATCTCAGCCTTTGATGTACGGAGCTTATTAAGTGTCTTCACCAAACTAAGAGGCCCCATGAATAAATACCCCGACCCAAGAAACAGCAGAATTGTAAAGTGTGGTAGCGTTTCTGTAGCTGTGTGAGTTTCACTGATCGTTAATTTGTGGCTAGAGCAGGTATGAGAGGCTGTTCTGACTTCTTGGAGGTTTGCTACTACTGGTCCTTGTGAGAGGAGGGCAGTTAGCTGAATAGCAATGATGGTAGCTGAGGGTGCGTACTCAAAATTGCTGCAGAAGGTGATTCCATTGTCTCACTGAATCTGTTTGATTTTTTTGGCTGCATATAGCAGATTATCTGTTGGATAGGGGTCTGGGATATATAAATTTGTAGTTGAGTTATTAGCTGTAGTGTAAACTTCAACTCATTGCACTGAGACTGTAGAAAATGAGTTAAGGTGTGTGTTACCTTAACAGCTGATTGTTCTGAAAACTGCTGTTATCATGGAGCCATGTAGCATGTTTGGTTTTATGAATGTTGTTGTCTGTGTACAAAATCACCTTGAGTATTCTAGGTTTGTCTCTTGTAAATAAGCCAGTCTGAATTGTTTGTGCTTTTCTATGACCTCTCCCTCCTTCTTTTTAAAACTGAACTTTTCTCTTTAAAAAGCTAAAACCTGTGTTAATGCATTTTAAAAGTTTACTGTTTCAAAATGAACTCTCTTCAGTGTCCATTGTAACTGTTGAACAGGTAAATACAGACTAAAGAGAAACTTTTTTAAGTCTTGCTCTTTGTTACCATACAGAAACTTGTGTAAAAGGCGTCTTTTAATCAAGAACTGGAGCTGGGACTGGTGTTCTAGTGCTGGTGTGGGAGTCAGTGTGCAGTGTCATATCAGAAAAACACTTTTTATTTTAAATAGCTCGTGGTGAATAGTAAAACTTGTATCAGCTGTGACAGTTCATTGCCAGCTGCTGCTGCAGAGGGGAAAGGCTGTAATGTCACAGAACTACAGAATGTCAGGGATTGGAAGGGACCTCAAAGGATCATCTAGTCCAGTCCCCCTGCCTGAGCAGGAAATGTCGTCTGTAGCTGATTAACACTGATCAAAGTGACTGAGGCCGTGGACAAATCAGTGAAACTGCTGATGGCTCTGAGCTGTGGGGAGATGCTACACTACCATCTTGAAACCATTATTTAGAGAATGCTCTACTTAACTGGCATGGACTGTGGCTGGGTGTAAAAAGGCAAGTGGTGAGTCTTTGGGAGAGCTGGTGGCAGCCCCTCTACCCCCCCAGTAGCCCTAGTTTAGAGTACTGTACGTTTGCGGTTTCGGTGCTGGGAGCGGAGCCATCTTCGCCGTTTTCAGGTAAAATTCAGTAGAAACAGCCCATCCCCCTGGCGTGGCTTTGCTCGCCTCACCTTCAGCTTCCTCGCGTAACTCCTCGCAGCACTCGGGGGCTGCGCTGTTCTCCGATGTGCGTGACCCCGCTGAGACTTCAGTGGAGATCAAACATACTAGGAGTTCCTCAGTGGTGTTCTGCCTTGTAAAAAAATTATTAGAAACAGGAGGGGAAAAACCCACCAAAGCGCAGAGCTGCCGTGATGGTGCCACCTGTGTCCTTTCGTTTGTCGTTGCTTTGGGGCGGGTTCGTTTTGTTGTTCTCTTCCCGCCTCCCGGGAGGCCCAGTATCCCATCCTTCCTCTGCACG